CACATTAAAAACATCTTTAATGTTATAATAATAATAATAATAATAATAATAATAATAAAATATATATGTTTATCATTATACTATTTTATTAAAATATATAATAATTAAAATATATAATTAATTTTTATAATCAAATGCATAAAATTATCACTTTATTTTAAAATAATTTATTTTCAATGTATATTGCCAAAATTAAAGTGATAATTTTTAATTATTCATATTTTAGTATTTACTAGTATTTCACTTTAATAGAAATTAAATTATTTTAAATATAAATTTTAATTTAAAATCGCAAAATATATAAATTATAAACTTCAAAATCACATATATGTATACATAATTATAAAATCTCATTATAATATTAATATAAAAAATAGTTGACACATTTTTTGACCTCCAAATACAGAAGTCTATTTTATTTACCTTTGTGTTTTAGTGTTATCAGTCCGGTTGGAGATGAAAATATCTCTATTTTTGTGTTTCAGTGTTGGGTTGAAGATGTCTTACATGATAAACCATAAAAATGAAAATAACATTAAATTACAGAATACAGATCATGGGAGAAAAAAATCACAGATTTTACCAAACTACAAATGAAAATTACATTAAAAATTACTGGTCTTATTAGAGAAGATTTAACGACGATATAAGTTACATTTGGTCTTTACATATTAATACAATTTGAATAAATAAGAGTTATGGTTCCAATTACAGTTTATCGATGAAAAAAATTGTATGACGATTTAAAATCCAACATATTTAAACGACCACAAATGTGTTCGATTTACACCAAGAACAAATAATCAAGAGATCGAGAGTGAGACCGAAAGTTCTAGAGCAATTGAATGAAAGAACCTTTAATAACTAATGGTGAATATCAGTTTGAATCTCACATTGGGGATGAGGAGAAGACATAGAGGCATGAGAAGGTGAAGACATGAGTGAAAAATGTTAAAAGTATATTGAGAACATGAAAAGAAAAAGTAATAATGTGCATTAGTAACTTATACTATATGTTATTTTAATTATACATTAAAAGATTTTAAGACTGAATGCATAAAATAATAGTACTTAATGCATTATGCATTGTTTTTAAGACTTTGTACATAAATGTATAATACTTTGTGCATTAAAAATTGTTTTTAAGATTTTTTACAAATTTAATTTATAAAGCAGTATAAATTATTTTAAAGAAAAAAAAAAAGAATTCCATTGGATGGGAAACACGGTGGGCAGGGCATGATGGGATGGGAATGGGATGGCAGGCGTGAATCGCACTTCACGTTTGGCTTTTTTCCCATATAACCCCCGACAAACACTTCAAATCTCCAGCCATACCCCGACATCCCCGTGGATAAATACGTAATTTTATACAAAAATTATTCAAAATATCAAAATTCAAAAAGCCCTCCCTTATTTATTTAATAATATGATTAAAATAATCGGAGATTACGGAGGTAACGTTCCCGTTATGGACGGATCCACATGGAACGTACGATGGTTCATGTCATTGTTTCATTCCTCTGTTGTAGTGTAAAAAATTATCACTGTACTGATTTGTTTTATGTTACTGTATATATTTTGAAACTATGATGAAGATACAAGTTTTCCTTGTAAAGTTGGTTTGTAAGGCTTTTCTTCTATTCCAAATCTGAGTTTGAAGCTTGTGTGTGTCATTTTCTTATTTTTTAGCCTGTAATTTTAGATGTATTATGTTTCTGAAAACCGGTTACCATGCTAATGTGATAAGTGATGTGGTATCCAACTCAGTATTATTTGCTGAAGAATTAACCAAATACCACATCAGCATGAGAACCGATTACCTACAGGTACTTAAATATTTAAATCTTTACATCTTAAATACAAAAATGTAGGTTTTAAAAATACGTTACCCAAAATAAGAATCAAGTTAAAGTACGTTACTTTTTCATGCAATTTGCTCTCTTCTTATTAGAACAACTTCAATAACACGTTAAAACATCGTTTTGCTGGTCTTTATACTCCAACTGACCAGCAAAGAAAACTTCAATTTCGCCTGTGATGGGAGAGAAACGGTGGATATACTGGCCTCGTGTTCAAATGGCATGAATGCTATGAGCTTGTAAATGAAGCGGTTTTTGGTGTCCATAACCGCACCAATTTACAATTTTAACTATAAAATCAGTTCATCAACTAACAACTAGCTTATCATTTAATTTTTTAATTATATTTTAAATTAATTTAAAATATTATTAAATAATTTATTAAATTACTTGAATGGGTTATAAAGGAACCATATATAGGCTACCAAAATGCATCATAACCCACAAATACTTTTTGATATTTATATTAATTATTAAATTAAATATATAAATGGAAGGTTCCAAAGGGTGACAACCCACTATGCCTTAAATGGCAATTTTTGGTAAATATCTCATCCATACCATCATTACAATATTTGAGGGGGGAAAAGCAAAAGCGGATACTAATTTTAACGAACGTATTGTTAAAGGCACGTTGATCGGGAAAAATCGTAAAGCAGATGGTTAAGATATGACTGATCGACACTCGATAAACGGTGATATATCTGAGGTTTGTTTATACGATTGCAGGTGTGAATTTAAGAAGGTATACGGTGGTACACGTGCTATCGCTCTATGATGTGGATATAGTGATTCGTGAAAGATAAATTTCAAGATGCAATATGCTTTTACTTTGTTGTTTGTTCTCTTACATTGGCAAAAGACAGTTGTATAAGCACTTGGTGTTTGTAGCGCACTGGTTAGACCTGAAGGGGATGTGGTGGAAAATCTAATCAACCACGGGTTTGAATTCAGACGCTAACAAAGTGCTTGTTTCTTGCGAATCAGATCATCCGTGTAATATACAAAGAAAAACTCCAGATATTTGAGATCTTTCTCTTTGAATAAGATCTCAATTCCAACAACTGTTTCATTATCTTAGCAGTTTGTAAATCTTGAAAATATGAGGAACGTAAAAAACCCATATTAGATCTAGAATTACAACACAAAAATTACGATCTTTCAAACTTTACTGTAAATTGATTTTTTTTTTTTTTGTAATCTCATCATAATATAATGGGTTCATTCCTTCAGAAGCTTCGATTTTCATTCCATGTTAAACTAAGGGGAATGAAAATTCATTCACATCTTCATTCTCTGTCATTTTCATACCCATTTTCATTCATCTGTCTGAATCAAACACCCCCTTAATCTTTGAAAATGAACACTTAAATACATGTGAATTAATCAGGGTCTGTTTGGCTAATGATGATGAATGAAAATGATTGAAATTCCTCCAGTTTAATCATAAATAAAATTTTGGATTTCTGAATGAATGAGCCCATTATATTATAGAAAACCAAACAGTTTCTTTTATTTTTATTATTATTGATTATTGTTTAATACCTCTGACCAAACATCCCATTATTTTACAATAATCATAAATAAAGTTACGGACAATCATTTTACCGACGTAGTGAATATTTTTTCAAATATCTATCGTTAAAATTGTATCTGTGTTGAGATGATACAAATACTTTCATAAAATCATGAAAACACCAAAATTGGTCGTCATTCATTATGCTATTAAATGTTTACCTTATTTCGTATAAGACATCTGAATCGTATCATGATTGTCGTGATTAAGTTGACGATTCAATGAATTGACCAATTAAATAAATTAGAAGCAAATATGAATTTAGGGGTTGTTTGTTTATATCTGAATAGTTCCATTAAGAGACAACCTTTTAATCGTTAAGGGATGAATCTTGTTTGACAAAAAAATTAATAGTTATAAAACCCTCTGAATGCTTTTGTATCATGAACATCACTTAACCATTAAGCGTCCTAATTCCATTGTAAACAATTACCGAACAATTATATTTCATTTCATTATATCATGAGAACTCTTAATCATTCTGACCACTTAATTATTCTGCATCAAACCATTCAATAACTGCCAAACAACCCCTAAAAAATTACACTGTCTTATTTGAAGGACTTTTATTGATTCTTTTCATATTAATTAAAAATAATTTCACTTTTCTCTTAAAAGTTTAAATGATCTTAAATATAATTGATATATTAACTAAATAAATAATAGAGTAAATTATAAAAATAATCTCTATCTATTATTAAAACTCTGATTTTCATATATACACATATACAGATACATGATGGATCATGTGATAATAAAAATTATGGTGAGAATAATGAATAACATGATTATACCATACAGATGAATGATTACTTAAGTGTTCTTTGATTTTTATTTTTTTACGGTTTTCACTTGAACCTATATATATATAAAAGAAACCTAATTTTCATTAGGAACGAGAAACTGTGCATAGTGCAACACATGACATATTCATCTGGAATATAAACGTTGTATTCAACAAGTATGTTGTAACATATTCATCATGAATGTGTGGTTTTTGATTAATACTATGTCCATATTCCTTATGAATGTGTTATTCATGATAGATAAAACCAAAACATATCTCTTTGATCAAGTGATATAGGGATCCATTTTTATTATAATATTTTGGTGTTTGAGATTGCTTATAAAAACAACTTATCGACTTATTTCGGTATGACACCAATAATAAACACTTTTAAGTGTTTGGATAAACAACTTATACCGGTGTCAAATCGGTAATAAGAAGTTTTTAAGAAGTTAGACTATTCTAAATTATAATAAGTTGATAATAATTTTTTTATAAAAACATAACTTGTTTCAAATAAGCAATCCCAACCAAGTTCTAAAATTAATATTTAAATAAAAAATAAAGAGATAAAACTACATTTAACAGGATATATTTAAGCAACCCCTGAATCCAGCCGATGAATTGAACGGAGACATGATTCCAATGGGTCCGTCTCACCACTCTCCGTCAAGACGTTGTTTTCATTTGGCTTTATCGCTTCAGACCTTCTAGAAGCTTTCCACCTTTATTTAACCCCCAAATCCATCCATTAATTTCTGCAATTTATTCCATCATGGATCTTATACCTGGCCTTCCTAATGATCTCGGTTTAGACTGTTTAATTCGTCTCCCTTACAACCAATTCTCCCTCGCCGCCTCCGTTTGCCGGAGCTGGAAGTCACAGATCGAGCTTCCTCACTTCCGGAACCACCGCAAGTCCGCCGGCCTCAGCCGTCGCATCGTCGTCATGGTGCAATCGCAGGTTGATTCCACTCACAACCATGGCCTCCGGAAGTATACGACTCCACCGGTTTACCGTTTCACAGTTTACGAGCCGGAAACGGGTAATTGGAGCCACCTGCCGCCGATTCCCGGGTTTTCCGACGGGTTGCCCCTATTTTGTCAGATAGCTCCGGTCGGGTATAATCTTGTGGTGATGGGCGGGTTGAACCCGGAGAATTGGGAGGCTTCGAATTTTGTTTTTGTGTACAACTTCGTGTCTGCCACATGGAGACGGCGGTCGGATATGCCAGGGTGTACACGGTCGTTTTTTGGATGTGCGTCGGACGGTGATCGGAGGGTGTTTGTCGCCGGCGGACATGATAACGAGAAGAATGCGCTACGGTCAGGGATGATGTATGACGTGGAAGATGATAGATGGGTCCCACTGGATGACATGGCAGATGAAAGGGATGAATGTAAAGGTGCTTTCCACCGTGGCAAATTCTACGTCATTGGTGGGTATAATACCCAAATGCAAGGGCAATTTGGGAAAAGCGCGGAGGCTTACGATCCGTCCACGTGTCAATGGGACCCGACGGAGGGTGACTTCTTGGGATCTGACACGTGTCCGAGGACTTGCGTGGACGGTGGTAACCGGTTGATGTACATGTATCGAGATGGCGCGGTTGTAGCACTGGATCATTCTTCCAAAACGAGGATCCCAAAGGATATGGATACTGTACCTTATATGATTGAATGCGATGGGAAGCTGCTGGCCGTTGGATCTGTTGGATACGGTAGGGGCCATGGAGTGTACGTGTTAGATCTGCATGACTCCACGTGGACGGCAGTGGAGGTGCCGGAGGAATTTTCCGGCCATGTACAATCCGGTTGCTGTTTAGAAATATAAATTAAATTAATGTACATAAATAAGTAAAGTGTGAGATTTTTTTCCATATCATATATCATTACAAGTAACGATAGATTTAGGACCGTAGGTGATTAAAGGCACCCTTAAAATGGACAAAAAGCCAAAGTCTCGAACCAAATGAGGTTTGAATTATACGATTTTGTAGAACATTTTCAACGAGAGCGAAAAACATATAAATAACATGTGATACAACATGTTCAAAAGGACACGAATGAATTGGTTAACACGACCTTAAGATCGTCGGCATATGACCGTAAAATTTTTTTACCTTCTCATAAATTGACCGTCTTCTTATTTAATTTTACAGCTATATAATTTTTTTTAACCTAGATATCCAACCCGCTATGCGTGCCGACTAATCCCAGGACGACCACCTGCTTTGCAGATAGTCCGGAGTCATCGCATTTGAACCTCCATGGCCACAAAGAGATTTTTATTCCTCCTTGGATTTGAATTTGAGACTTCCTGATACTTTTGATCTTTGAAGCCAAGCTCAAACCGATTAGGCACCACAGTCACCGCACAATCACATACATGAAATGATAATTTAACATGAGAATTAGAAATTTAAAAGAAAAAAACAAACTGATGGACCAGAAAATTAAATACAAAAATATCCATGCAAAAACATTAAATTTAAAGAATATTAAATAGTTTTTTAATAAATATATATTTGCTTAGAGCTGCCATCATTTCTCCATGGAAGAGAAGAATCATGAGCAGCAGTAAGCAAATTTACTTTACTCTCATGGTGTTGTAAAGAACCTCCCACAAGATCTTATACATGTGCTTTTTTAAGTACATCCTTTTCACCTTTTCTCTCCCTGCAAGTCCCAAACGCTGTCGTTCTGCTGGGTTTTCGAGCAAATATCGAAGGTTTTCGGAAAGAACGGTGGTTCCGGGATGTCCTATAGGATGTAGAAGACCGGTCACATTGTGTTCAACGATCTCTTTCGTGCCTCCTGAGTCTGTTCCGAGCACCTGTTTAAACGGCATAATGGATGTAAGAAGTAGACAGGAGTGTCAATGTGTGTAACAACCATGCCAATTGAATTGGTACCGATTATTGTCGGTTGGTTGTACCGTAGCAAGTACGCAAACTTGGTTGATACACGGTTTTAAAAGTTGTATATCACGGTAGTACTGACTTATTTATTTTTTATTTGTTTTGTGTGTTTAAGATTAAACCTTGCAACTTTTTATTTTGTTCAAAGGGAAATTGACTCAAATAACCATATTTCAGAACCAAATTAACCTCCTAATCATTTCTGTCCGGACTTTACCAAAATGTCAATAGGTCCGGAATACCCAGGTACTAAACGACGTAAAAATCAACGTTTTTGGACCAGGTCTGTAACCACCGCTCCGCAATTATTACAGATTCGACCCAAAACCCAATTTTTCCTATGAAATCCCCAAGGTGGACACTTACGAATTTGACATTACGGATTCAAGGAAAATGGGTTTTGGGCCGGATCCATAATAATTACGGACCTGACCCAAAAAAACTCGTAGAATTTTGTCGTTTAGTGGGTTTGCAATAATTGCGGATCTAGGTATTGCAGACCGGTGACTTTTAGGTAAAATCCGGAGAGAAATTATTAGTTGGTCAATTTGGTTGTGGAATATAGTTATTTGGGTCAATTTCCCTTTATTTAAACATTTGAATATTTGCAAGTTTTATTCATTACAATTAAAACCTGATAAACATCAAATGTATTACCTGGAAACTCAAAATTTCACTTAAATTTTGAAACACTTTGGCAAGTTTTCATATGTAACGTGAAGTTGGTACAAACCCGGTACCAACCGAAAAAAGTTGGTACCAAGTATAATTGGTTGGTACACGGTATAGGATTTTAGATACCAATTTTAATTGATTGGTACGCGGTATTGGAGAAAAAAAACTTGGTACCGTACCAAGTCCGGCCCTAGAAGTAGAGCTTGTTCTATATATAATTCTAACAATCTTAAGATCTATACAATATATAATACTTGCATGAAATGATAAATTGCCTAACATTTTTTTGGCAACCGTGGGTGTTCAGGTCGCTTACGCGCAGCTCGAATAATCCCATGGGGCCTTCGAGAACAACTACGAAAATCCCACCACCGGCCCCGTTTATATTGGCATATCCATGGTAATTCACGGGGACAACCCAATAGTCCGCAAGAGGGAGAGATCACTCTTTTGTAGATGTAAAACCGAACCGAACCGAACCAAAAGAACTCAGGGGACGTTTAGTTTGATGGAATGATTTTGAGGGATTTGGAATTGGAGGGATATGGATTTGGAATGATTTGAAATCCTTTATATGTGGTTTGTAGGATTTGGAATGAAATAGAATTTCATTCTTTATAAATAACTTATAAGTTATAAAAACCAATTATAAAGAAATACAAAAATAATCAAATTACCTTTTTTTAATTGGTTATTACAAAAATATATTTTTAACATATTTTAAAACATTATTACATAAAAATCCTATGAAATCTCATGAAAAACCAACCACCCCTGTGGTATTTCAGAATTCTATGTTTGTGGGATTTCAAATTCATGAAATCCTTTAAACTAAACATGGGACGGGAATGAAATTCAATTCAAAATTCCTTCAAATCCATTCCAATCCGACAAACCTAACGGGACCTCGATATATACACTCGAAAAAGGGGTTCGGAGGTGGGATGCAAAACTCAAAAGGTAGAAGGCTGTTTCTGTGGAGAGTGGAGACACCCAACTTGTGCAAAAGCGTGAGTGAAAAGGAAAGAACCAATACTAGTAAACTCTCTTCTAGAAGTGACAGATTTAGACTTAAACTTGTGTACTTGGTTATAATGTGAATTTCATTAAATTTGATTGCAAATGAGAGGAAGTGACGAACCGGATCATGTACGTTCTTCATTTAATTGCAATGTATATAAATTAATATATATATATATATATATATATATATAGAGAGAGAGAGAGGGGTTCAATGAGAATAGTAATCAAATAAGAGAATATAAAAATGGTCAAATCACGTGCAAAATCACACATGATTTACACTAACGGTCAATGAAAGTTGTGTGAATCACATGTGATTTTACACATGATCTTAGTATAAAATTCGACTGTTTTCTTATTCTCTTATTTAGTTATTGTTATATACTTAACACACACTCTCTCTCTCTCTATGCTATTTACAGCACATAAAAGCATAATATAGAAAAGTGTAGTACCGGAATACCAAATGCCATTGCTTCAATTGTCACTCTTCCAAACGTTTCTCCAATCCCCTGTGCTCGTCCAGTCAGTCAAAATTCCATTGTGTTAAAACGGAATCATTATGTAACTTCAGAAATATGGCATAACATATGACACTTTGCAACATTTTAGAAATCAATGCACTAGGTTAGGAGTATTCCAATCGACAATCACACAAATACGATCAAAATGGATGTCATATCTGGAAAGTAGAAATGTATCATCTCAGTTGGGCACTTACATTTTGGACTATACTAACAACAACCCATGGCTCTTGGTGGCTTGGTGCCTTTCGGTAAAGTAAAAGGCCAACAGATAAAACCCTTTTCACGTCTCTTTGTGCCTTTTTCTAACAAGTTAAAAGGACAAATGATTCTTTTATGAATAGGGTATATGAATAGGGTATATGGGTTGGGTTGGGAGGGACAAGTATGGAAAAAACTTGGCTTTCTGCATAAATCTCTCCCCTAGAAGCTTACTTAATAAGCCACTTTCTATATCATTAAGCCACAACCAAACAGCCATGTATAGCTGATCAAATAAGCTGTGAATCCCATTAAGCTCATTAAGCTGCTAACAAAAAGGCCCTAAAGCTTTGCTACTTACGCTTATTCTTCCCCTATGTTCCTTGTCATGACCCCAATGGAAACAAAAACGTTAAAGTAATACACCAAGACTACCTATTACCATATATATCCCACCATCATCTTTGATCTACAGCCTCCTTCCATCCCATAAGATTACTTTGATCACAAATCATTAATACCTTGACCTCCACAATGTAATGTCTGCCAATATAAGATATGTTGGTTCTATTCACCATCTTTCTAAGGGATGTCATGAAAAAGATCTTATGCTTGGTCTAAAAATGTATATGCTAAAGTAATCAAGTCAAAAAAGAACATGCTTTGGATAAACTAGTGATGCAACGAACACAAAGATGTAAGGAAAACACGATAAAAACAAAGATATTAATAAACTAATGATGCGACAAACACAAAGAAGAACTATTCGATTGGAATCAGGCAAGGACTTTGGAAAACGTTTATAAGCAAGAAGAATTTGTGCTTAAAAGGTATAAGATAACACAAAGATGTATGGAAATCACGATAAAAACGAAGATATTAATAAACTAGTGATGAAACAAACACAAAGAACAACTACTTCAATAGGTTTCAGGCAAGGACTTTGAAAAACTTTATAAGCAAGAAGAATTTGTGCTTAAAAGGTATAAGATGTGTAAAAGCATGTAATGTGGAGACTTGTCACCTGGGAATTTATAACATAGACGTCTGCTGCAGAGTAAAGTGAGGCAACACGCGTTGTTGCTGGAGTCCATAGCACCGACTTTGATGAATTTGAATGTTTGGATAAAAAACTAAGTAGCGCTTTGACATAAGGCACCTTATTGCTCTTGGATCCAACTGAACCAATTAGAAGCTTAAGAGCTTTCCCCTGCTTTTCTTCACTCCCGGCCAACATTTTTCTTAAACTTCCACCATCTTCAACAGATCCTGCAATCTGAATGTCACTTGGGGATGATTTGTTATCAGTGGTCAAGTGCACCGATTCAAGAAGCAAAAAATGGCCCTTTCCAGGGTTTATACTGCTTAATGCCATCACGAGCATATCGCTATCTTTCAATCCCATCTCTTCTCTGACTGATTTACGTAACAACATCCGTTTTTCCAGCATCTTCTCAGTGCTGAATGCAGGAGTATTTAGAGAACAAGATATGCCAGCTACAAAAGCCAGTTCATCATTAACAGATAGCGGAACCAGAGAGGGTGCAGACTTGAACTGAATATTTTCCTCTTTGCACCAAGCCAGCCATTGTTTAGACTGAGATTCAGAAAGGAACACCAGCGTTTTTACACGATTAAGAACGAGCTTAGAACGATCAAAGTACTCCCGTCGGTTCTCCATGATCCACCAAACAAGGTGACGTGTTCCAGCCACAGAGTGGTCAAAATATTGTTCTGTGAGCATTTAACTGATTGTCGTCAAGTTACTGGAACCACATAAATCATAAATGCATATAAAAGAATATTTCCAATCTTAAACTCAGGTAATTCTATTTCTACATTTTGGATAACCAATACTTTTGGCTTAGAAACATCTGGATAAAAGTACGAAATTACGAAGTGTTATGTTGGGTACACATTTGTTGTTCAGTTATGAAAAATAAACTAAAGTGCATTTGTGGACTAGGGGAAGCAGAGCACGGACCAAGATCTGAAGGGGTCATCTTGTTTGGAGGTAATGCCAAGGAAAGGAAAATATATGCATTTCACTAAAAGTCTAAAACCTTTAATCATCAATACTAAGGTCCTTATTAGCACAAAAAAGTGTGGTTGTAGAAGATATTTAAGTCCTTGCAGATTTCATGCTTCATGCAGTCAAATTGAGCAACAAGCTACAAAGAAGATCAGTTCTTTTATTATCTGCACAACTTCAAGATTTTCTGGACAGAAAGTTTATGAAATAAATGAAAAAAGAGCTCTCACCAATCCATGATGCGCACACTGCTGAACCTGCTATGACAAGATCTGCCTTCATAGCAGTTTTGAAGCTGAGCCTATCTTTGTCCTCCAGAACTTTGATCTTTTTTCTAGCAAGCTCTGGCAGCAATCCACCCCTTCTGCTAAGAGCAACTACGGAAACTGTGGCTCCACAGCTCAAAAGCTCTGTCGCCAACTCCATCATTGAAAGTGGAGCTCCAGTCAATGAAAGCTCGTGGAATATAAGAACAAATTTTCGTGACCAAACAAGACGAGCAAACTGACTCTTCCTATCACAGGTTCCTGATCGCTTCTCAGGACTCCATTGTAAAACTGAGTCCTCTATTGAACCAAATGGACCAACCAGCATCCCATAAGTAGCATTTGTTTTAGGAATTTCTTCTTCCTGGACTTCTGCATTATTGCTCCCAGTTCCCAAAGCCTTTTTCTGATTACCACGTTTTGTCCGAGAACTACGCCGTGATCTTTTGCTCCGTTTCTTTGTAGTTACAATGCTGCGTGATACACCAGTACCACCAGTGCCATTCTTGGCCAAGACCAAATCCATCTTGTTCACATGAGTCTGATTTCCATTGATCCCAATCTGAACTGTCGATGAATCATTACTCGCACTCAAGTCCCTCCTATGAACTTCCTCAACCTCAGAACTTTCATCACTTTCATCAATTCCCCCAAAAATCCCTTCCTTATTGTCACCATGAGCCCACCTTGATTGGACATAAAATCCAGCATAAGCCCAAAGAGTGATCAAAAGCAACCAAAGCACTATCCGATTGCTTCTGAAACAATTAGTACCAAATCCACCAGTTCTCCCGTCCCTTCTAGGGGTCCGACTAGAGTTTAATCTTTTAAATGAAGGAGAGCCTCTAGCTGTTGATTTACCCGATAATATGGACTTCAAGACGGGGCGTGATGATTGTCTCCCAGAGTTTCTTTGCACATCTACTCTATTATATTCATCCATATTCCCTTTCAACTGATTTCAAGCAGCATAAGATCATAACACATCATTCCTAACATTAGGATTGTATATATCTAACATTCTTGGTATTTAAGCTTCCGCACAATTGAAGAGCTCCGGAAAATCACTCTTATACAGATCCTAGCGTTGTATCCTGCACAATTGAATACACATTGTTTCAATGCAAGAAAGACTCATCATCGTCATCAAACTTGAGAAGCACAAGCATAAATGAACTTCCAGTAAATTCATGTTTCAAGAAGATGCATAGATAAAACAAGTTAATTTGCAGATCCAATTCTCTTAGACATACTACTTATTGTAGGTAATTGACTGCAGCATCGCATCTCAAATCTGCAATATCAATAAAATGCCAATGAAATGAACACAAAATATCATGTTACACACAAAACGTAAATTCCTTTGCCTCTGTTTTCATCGGCAAGAGAATTGGAGTTGACTGATGATCAACTCACATTTTAATCATCTTTGTGCTTGGGGGCAATGACGCAGCTAATGTCATAACCGAAGCTTGTTCAATTGCTGGTTGAAAACTCGCATTTGAATCTAGGACAACAAATCCATATTATATGCTACGAAAACATACAATTTAATTAACGAACCAACAAGCAATAAACACGAGACCTTTATTATTTGCTGAAATATGTTGATTTACTTGTAACTGATCGTTGAAAATTTCAGACAGATCGAAAAACTGATTTCTGAAGCCGAGCAAGTAGATCTTCTCAAATAATGCCTGATTAATCAGCATAATTTGATTTTTCCTATACAGATCGAGTGAATTAACATCATTATATCAATTTCGAGAAGCAGAAAACGATGAAATCGCCAGTCTTCAAGCAGCTCGCAACTTTGTGAGTGATGAAAATAGCAACAAGTGTGTGCTTGTTCGGCCCTTCTTCTGCTTGTGAAGTAGTTGACCAGACTGCAATGGAGATTTTGCGTGTGAGAGTGAGTGAAAGATGTCTGAAACTGAGGAGAGAAGTCACACGTGCGGAGCACCCTTGTCGACAGGGTTTCTACGGAAGAAGAAGATGGGGAAACTTGAGGTATAATTTACACTCAAAGTCCTTCGAGTTTTTCAATTGGTATATACAGCCCTTGTACTTAATATCTAAAAATTCTTCTATTTGTATTTGAAAAAACTGATATACATTGACTTTGAAGTAGAAATCAGGTCTGATACATAAGAATGGTGATTTATCTCGATCCGGTAGGAAACACCGCTCACTCCTCCCAAACAGGGACGGGGATTCTCTACTAAAACGGGGTCTCTGGGCCGGGGACTGTTACTCAAACCAGAGTTAGGACTGGGGATCTCCGATAAACTCAAACTAACGGATATTTTTCATAAGGTTTGACTAGGGACAAGATGTTAATTCCCGTATCCATTGGGGACCGGGGCCAGAAGCTGTTATTAGAAACCGGGCCTGAGGATAACAAAACACGCCCCATCCTCGTCCCGTTGCCATGTCTACTGATACATTTTATCCTTTTGGAACCCCCCACATTCAAATAAAATATATCAGGTTTCTTTATGTTTTTTGATTTTTGTTTCATATGAATTCTGACCCCATCATCTTCTTCTACAATATATTATATGTTTTACTATTACATAACTGAAGATACATTTTTATTAAAAGTATATAAGGATGTGAACATATCTGATTTTGATATTTTCTTTATGATTGTAATAATCATATTTTAACAGGTGTATAATCAGTTATTACAATAAACTAAGTCTCAAAGGTAACTTAAATTACAAATTTTATTTTGAACCGTATAAAAATATAATCATAGTTTATCTTTGTCTATTAATAACTGAGATGCAGTAGGAAGAAGGGAACATACAAAAAAGAGAATATGAAGTAACCTTAGTTTTTGAACAGTCCATAACAGAAAAGCCACTGTAAACCGAAGAAACAAGCATGTTGTTGTCATGAAGACTATGAACCACTTAACTCGTAGGGAGAAAATAGAATTGGTTTTTCAATCCGCATTCCCCATAAAATGGATCATTTTTTAAGACTTCTTGATACCCACTCGAAAACTCGAACTTAAATCATGACGAATTGGATCTCAGCAGGAACCAAGACTAGCCAATTGATTTCTTTTTTTTAGCAAATGACATTTTGGTCGATATGGTTTATATGAAAATGAACAACGTCCCTGAAGTTCAATAAGTACAATATCAATCACTATGGTTTGCATTTTGCTTTGAAAGTGGTCACTGACATTAGCACTATCGGTCGAAATGACGTTAAATAAATGTCACTTTCGTTGCTTTACTTATTTCATTAATGTACTAAGAAAATAAAAATAAAAGAATACAATATATTATATTACTTAGTTCATATTAAGTTACTTACATACATACATACATACATACATACATACATACATACATACATACATACATACATACATACATACATACATACATACATACATACATACANATACATACATACATACATACATACATACATACATACATACATACATACATACATACATACATACATACATACATACATACATACATACATACATATATTAAACGCTCCCATTTTGATTCACCGTGATCCCATACTGTTGTTGCAACCTTCTTTAATCTTTGTTTTGAATTTCATCGTTTTGTCCTCTACGAATATTTGTATAACTTTTGGCTCTTCAGAAGTTTGGTCATCCATTCTTTCAGAAGATATCAATGAGGGAAATTTATTAAAATAACCATTTTTCAGAGTTGGTTTTACTTCCTAGCCATTTTCTCTTCAAGTTTATTAAAATAACCATAGATCTGCAAAACCCAGCAATTGCAGAACCAACTAAAAGACAAAAAAATTACACTTTCTACCCTTGTCTACAAAAAAGTTTATATTTTCCACCCAGGTCTGCAAAAAAATTTACATTTCTTACCCAGTTCGTAAAAAAATTTACATTTTTCACTCAGGTCCGCCAAAAAAATTAAAAATTATGGACCTAGGTCTATTTTGGTAAACCTTTAAAGAAATGGCTAAGAGGTGAAACCAACCGGTAAAAATGACTATTTTAATTAATTTTCTTATCGATGAAGGTGTTGATAAACTACAGGGACCAAAATTGTAAATTACTCTTTCTTTTTTTGTTAGAGATAGTTAAGGCAAAACCAAGAGTTTGGGGACCAAACGTGAGTATTGACGATAGTTGAAGGACACATATTAAAAAAAAAGACGGTCCTGCTGGCCCCCACAAAAGAATCTTACAGTTAGTACTGTAGCAGTTAAATTTTGAAACGAGTACCCATTAATTAATGCACTTATGTATTAAGGTTAATAAGTCAAACATGTAATTAATGCAATGTTTAATAAATTTAAATTACACCAAACATTTTTAATGCATAATTATATGCTTTAAAGTTATATAATAAATAAAAGGACAAATTACATGAAAAACTAACTTATTTAACTTAATTTATATTTTGGGTAATATACTATCAAAACTTTCATTTTAATATCTAAGATGTAAAGTTTTAAACATTTAAGCACTCGGGTAATCGGTTGAAACATTAACCGGTTATCATGCTGATGTGTCGAATGATGTGATATCCAACTTAGTATTATTGCTGACGTGGTTTCTTAATCAATTTTTTTAATCTAAAATTAGTCTTCAACCGGATACCCAGATATTTAAATGTTCAAAACTTTATATCATAGGTACCAAATGAAAGTTTTGAAAGTACGTTTACCAAAATAGGAATCAAGTTAAAATACGTTATTTTTTCATACAATTTGTCCAATCCATAAAAGGTTCGAAAAAAATATTTATATGATTATTAAATTAAAAATTATAAAGTTGTTATTTTTTTAAATATAATTTGATTCAAATTTTATTACACTTTAAGTTTTTATATTTTAAATTAACTGTGTAACGTGTTTATCAGTTGATTATCAGTTAGTTTTTATGGAGTTCGAAGGTGAAGGTTTAAGAAGTTGCAAACTTAAATGTTATGATATTATACATTGAGATGAATGCTGAAACAAAAACAATAACCAAATAAGAGAACATAAAAACGGCCAAATCACATGTAAAATTTCATGTGATTTTAAGACATGCAAGCGACGAGTACGGCGACCATAGGTCGCGGCTAAAGTTGTGTGAATCACATGTGGGTTTAGTGCTATATCACATGTGATTCAACCATTTTTATTCTCTTATTTAATTACTGTTCTCATATGAATTTAACTTATAATTAATCAGTCATATCTGGTAGTTCTTTTTGTACCAAATGAGTCATAATATAATACAGATTTTCAACAACAGGTTTATCTGTAAGTTTTATAGGATTTAAAAACAAATTTTAAAATCTCCATAAAAATATTTATATTAAAATCAATCAATATATTAATTTTGAAGAATCTAACATTAATTATATTAACAAAATATTCAACAAAATTAATACCCCAATAAATTTTCAAACAATTTTTTTATAAAGGATAAATTACATGAAAAAGTAATGTACTTTAATTTGATTCTTATTTTAGGTAACGTATTTTTAGAACTTTCATTTTGGTACCTAGAATGTAAAGTTTTAAACATTTAAGTACTCGGGTAACCGATTGAAACATTAACCGGTTATCATGCTGCTGTGGTATCCAATTTGCTGACGTGGTTAGTGACATGAATTTTTTATATAATCTAAAATTAGTTTTCAACCGATTATCCAGGTACTTAAATGTTTAAAGTTTTACATCTTATGTACCAAAATGAAAGTTTTAAAAGTATGTTACCTGAAATATGAATCACGTTAAAGTACATTATTTTTTCATGCAATTTGTCCTTTTATAAAATGTTAATTTCAAGTTTCTATAAAATTTTATTATTTCTAACCATCTTTTTATAAAAAGGTAATTTTCAATTTATACAGGTTTTTTTATACCTGCATTTTGTTGAAAACTGCTATTTTTTTGTCTTTATACTTTTAAAATTACTGTTTTCATCTATGTGGTTTACAATTTGTTGTTTTTTTTTTTTATTTCTACAGATATGATTTATATAACTCTAATTTTAGCTCGTGTAATTAAAAATACTTCTATACATGTGATCAGTAATTATACATTTTTACTGATAATACATCAAATCAAAAATCCGTCAGATATTTTCTAAATTAAAAAAAATATAAAACTACAGATATCGACTATTTTTAGCTCATTTTAGTATACAGATAACTCATCATTTGTATTTATAATTATATACTATTTGATTTTTGATAAATTATTTTTTTACCATATTTGTTTATTCTTTTCTTTATATGCATTTAATATGATAATTAATACATTCAATGGACTACATTAATATAATTTACCTATATTTAATACTACACACCAAAATAAAAAAAAAAATTAATAAATATTTTTCTAAAAAAGTGAAAAGTAATTTTATTATAAAAAAATATTTTAATTACAGATATAACCTTTGACCAAATTCAAGTTCTTTCTAGCAGTTATAACTTTGTATTTTTACAAAGTCAATGTAATATAATTTATATAAATAAATATCTGATATAATATAAAACAATATATAAAACCTGCTTTTATAGCAATTCTTTTATTAATAAAAGTAGGATCCAACCCATTTGTCAAAATCATTTAAGTGAATAAATTTTACTCTCTATATAACCGAGAGAAAGATTGAGAGAGTGAATACACAATACGAAGAAAAAATGAAGGGCAAGAAGGTGATGATGATGGTGGCAGTGATGACGATGGTTATGTGGATGGCGGTAGGGCAAGACACTGGTGGTGGTGCTGGTGGTGATGCTGGTGGTACTGGTGGTGGTATTGGTGGTGATGCTGGTGGTACTGGTTTTGGTGGAGGTTTTACAATTCCTTTCATTCAATGCTATGGAAAATGCTACTTTTTTTGTGTGATTGAACCACAAAATGTTTGTACATGCACCTCCAAATGCCTTAAAGAATGCCTTGATACATCACCACCCACACCACCTACGACAATGGCAACGACTATGGATGAAAAGAGTCAAAAGACACCAAATATTGGCTATTGCAAGCTCGGTTGTGCCATTTCAATGTGTTCTCACATCAGCAAACCGCACAGTTCAGGTATAGATTTCATCCCTCTATTTATATCTCTGTTATTCAAATATATGTTCTTCTAGAAAGAATTGAAATTGGGTTGTTTTGTTCAATTCGATTTAGTGTGCTATTAAAAGGGATGTAACTAACCATAAGGGTGGTGCCTGATTGGTTTGAGTTTGACTCAAAAGGTCAAAAGTACCAGAAGATCCCAAGTTTAAATCTAAGGAGAAATAAAAATCCCCTTGTGGCCACAGAGGTTCAAATGCGGTGACTCCGAGCTATCTGCAAAGCAGGTGGTTGCCGTGATATCAATCGGCTCGTATAGCGGGTTGGATATCCAGGTTAATAAAAAAAGGGGGATGTAACTGTGCGTGTGTGTATACACAGTAGAGGTGTGCAAAAAAGTCACTCTATTCAATTATAAACGTAGAGTGTAACTGGATATCCATTTGTAATTGGATTGGATCAGAATCAAAATTTTAACATCAAAATTGGATATATCTGTTCTTGGATTACAGTCCTGAGACCAAGAAAATCAAATTGATACAATCCAATGACCATCTAATCGCTCATTGAACTACCATCTGATTAATGATTAATAATATTTTATGATATTAATTTTAGCTGATATTTGTATATAGTGTTTTTTAAGAATTAAATTTTTTTTTGAATAATGAGTTGAAATGAAGGATTAACTGATTGAAAATTTGATAAAAATACTGAACGGATGCAATCCATTTCAATAGGTAACCAATAGTAACATCCAACAAATGAAACCGATTGGACCAAATGGTAAAATCCAATATTCAACAAATGCTTGAATCAGATCAGATCCATTTAAATTCATTGGATTTCAACCGATGAAAATATCAGTATTATATTTATACTGATATAATATTCTTGAATTTTGTTTTGCAGAAAAAGAAAGTATGGGAAGATGTGTGGATTCTTGTTCTAGCAAGTGTGCCATTGGCTATTAATCACATCAATTGAGAGATTCTAATGGGATGTTATTGTGAATTGGTTATTCATCATGCATTAATTACCATAACATTTTTGATTTATTAAATATTATTATGAATATTTATGAAAAAAATGATTGGTTTTATTGATGAGTCAAATATATTTTTATGGTGCCAATAATTTGGATAAACATAATGCAGTATATTTCAGATCATGTGAAATCACAGGTTTTTCGTGAGACTCGTAAGACCAATTCTCAGTCCTTGGATTAGATCTATAATCTAAACATTCATAATCACAAAATTGCCACCGTGCAACTTTAGACCATTAGATCATTAACTTATAAAGTTGATCAATGAACATAAATTGATCTTACGGGTCTCACGAAAAACCATTGGTCTCATATGAACCCAACCCCTAGTAATTATTATTTTATCTGTTTAAAAATAAATGTTTATATTACTATTTTAAGGGTGTTTGTTTTTAACTTAATGAGTTTAATGGACGTTAGCTTAATTGGTTACGTTATATTAACATGTTTGATTTTAACTTAATACTGAAAGATTGACTTAACATGTTAAGTTGGCCTATTCAATTTTAATGCATTAAGTGTGAATTTTTTTTCTTCCAAAATTACCCTTATCCTACAAATTTTAATTAATCACACGTTGCATCAAAAATAAAGAAAATGAATAGTTTACCAGCATGTATAAATTAAAAATTGTAATTAAACAGTAATACATATTTTAACTCTTTGACTTCATATTATTTATGTTATTTTAAATAATTCATATTTTTTTTATATTTATCGAACAATTTATTTTTATTCAACAATTATATAGACATAAGGTTAAAATGGTAATTTCTATTATCCAGATTATTTAATTAAGACAAAAATCAAACAACAATTTATCTTAATTTATACAGACAGATTAATGCTTAAAGACAACTTAATAAAGTTAATTCTTCTTCACTTTTAATAAAGTTACCAAACGAAAGTTTTTGTTACGTATTTTCGAACCTTCTTTACCCCATAGAGATATTGAATAGAAAGGGGTATTCCTTTTTTTCACTGTAATTTTGAAAATGAACGTTTAAATGTCTTTCAAAAGTAAGGAAATAGATCTGACACATATAAAATGAGTTAGTTTGTATTAAAGTAAGTGTCTACTTTCAAAAGTAAGTGTCTATTTTCTCATTTTACTCTTAATTATGAGACTAAAAAAATGTATCTCTCTCTCTATATAATTAAGGATAAAATTGTCAACTTGTTAATTAAAAAGTGTAATAATTACAGATTTCTAAAACTATATGCTCTTTTTTACTTTGGACATTTATTTTGGAACGGAAGGAGTAAATCACTTTGAACTTTTCAGTATTTGAACAAAGTCGTTCCATCCTTTTATCAACTGAGCTAATTCTGTAATTTTCAAATTGTGGATAAACATTATATATATCAGATACATATCAACTTATCTAATTCTGTAATTTTCAAATTGTTACTTAAAAATAAAAACAGGAACAATTTTTTTAGTAGTTAAAGTTATTAAACTTATTATGTTAAAAAAACCCAAACATATCAACAATTCATTTGGTGGTGAACTCGAAAGTTATCTGATTTATATGCTGACCAGATAACATAACTTAAAGGCTCGTTTAGAGCATCTCCAACCCAATACGAAAATCTGTTTTTTACGCTATTTTACTCCGACCTAACACTAATTCTTACATCGTTTTGATGTTATGAATAATATAAAATGAAAGCTTTGCATTCTACAATTCATTTACACCGATTTGATTTTGAATTTTTTTTTATTACGAAAATTTCTTTGAATTAATAATTGTTAATATTAAATTATAAATTATATTTATATCAATTTATGATTTATAATAAACATCATTTTTATTTTTTCAAACTTATGTAAAAAGTTAATGATTTTTTTTATTAACCTGGATATCCAACCCGTTATGCTAGCCGCCTAATCCCAGAACGACAATCTGCTTTGCAGATAGCCCAGAGTCACTGTATTTGAATCTTCGTGGCCACAAAGGGATTTTTATTCCTCCTTGGATTTGAACCTGAGACTTGTTGATACTTTTGATCTTTAGAGTCAAGCTCAAACCAATCAAGGACTATCCTTGTGCTTAATGATTTAAAACATAATAACAAATTTAAAATTGATATACTTCCAACAAATGTGCAAATCTTGCTAAAAGAGGAGTGGTTTGTCTCTCCTCCCTATGCCCTCTGTGCGATTGTGTGGAAGAAGACGAGGAACATCTTTTCATAGGATGCTCGATATCTCGGCAATTGCTTAAGGATTTGTGCAAATGGTGGAAAGTGGACATTGGACAGGTGAATTCTATTGATAATCTTCTTGACCGTAGCGCGGAGGTGGCTGGGAATTTTTCGTGTAAGAAGGCGTTTATTGGAGTGGTGTATGGATTCTTCTGGATTATTTGGAACTTGCGCAACCGCAAAACTTTCTCTGTTCCTTCTCAAACGACGGCTACTTTTCTTGCGGGCCAGCTTCAGGCGTATTCTTTTTTCTGGTTTAAAAACAGGGTGCCGAAAGTTGTTATGGCGACTAGTTGGATAGAGTGGTGTAATTCTCCCATGTCTTGTTTTTAACCTGTACTCTCTTTTGCTAGCGTCTTGCTAGTTTCTATGCTATCTCGTCTTTGTTGCCGGTCAAAAAAAAAAACTTTGGTGGAACTGGTGGATATTGGTTACAATAAAGTAAAAATTTATAGAATATAAAAATTTAATAAATAAATAAAATGTTAAAAAAGAGGCTTTAGTAAAAAGAACTGAACTAGCTAAATATATAAGAATGACTGGGGTCCCATATATAAGCATTTGATATTTTAAAAGAGAATTTTGAGTTTATATCGATAAAATATAGATTTATTCTACCTTTTCCATGGATTTTACTTTGTTCCACATAAAAGTTATCATACGTAAAACAGTAATCCCCGGTTCTATTTTGTCGTGAATCTTAAATGCACCCTTAGAAATACATGGAAAGAATAAAGTATTTCTTGATTTAAGGATTTCAAACCCATTATATTCCATTCCAGCTAACCAAACGCCCTTTAAGCTTCATATCAATGAATGAATAAGAGTTCATTACTAAACGCTTACCCGGATAAGCACATACCAAGTCATGTTACCTTACCAAATGAATATGACAAAGACCAAGAATCTTACCAAGTAAGAACGAAAGAAAATGATCGGAAGTCTTACCGAATAAATGATGACGACAACTCTTACTACGGTTAACAATTACCAGGTAAATTATTATTGCATATGATGTTTTAGTATACTAAAAACCTATCCGTTTGTTGAATTTTATCAGTAAAGAGAACAAACCCATCCCTAGGGCCTAGGCCTATTACCTATACTATAGATAGCATCAGCCATTATAAACTTTTTCTACAACCGCAATAACAAGAAAATTTCAAGGATGAAATTTATAAAAAAGAATATTGTTCCTAGAAAACTTAAGTCTATATTTTATGCCCTACAAAATTACACCACGCTTACATCAGATGGTCGATCCCATATTCTCCATTTTGCCATTACCTGGGAAACAAACACAGGCAGTTCGGTTATTCAAAACCAAAAGCAAATACAATCATCATTGTAGCGTATGTAGGAAATTGAAAACCATGAAATGAGGACGACATAAATAATCCGTAAAACCATTTTCCATGCCTTGTTTGTACGAAAAGTCTGTTTCTTTCCCTTGCACGAAACAATCTCGAACGTTTTCACATATGAAATAACATTGCATTTTTATACATGTTTCACACGTGAAACACCACATGAAACTAATTTGTAAGTTTGTACAATTTATTAGGTTTGTAAATGATTATGCATCTTTCTCTCTCTCTCTCTCTCTCTCTCTCTCTCTCTTTATATATATATATATATATATATATATATATATTAGGGGAAAAACTTAAAAATAAATAAATGTGGATACAAGTAATTGAAGGTGTTTATTAGTTTTTATGCAGGTGTGCATGTTATACACATGTGCATACAGAGTGTTACAGTTTCATATGGATCTTTCTAAATCATAGGTGGAGTCCAGAATGCTTGGGCAAACCACCGGAGTATTTGGTGAAAAACAAACTCCGGGTATGGTTGGGGATGCGTAAACTAATGATAAAAAGAAACACTTTTTTTATATTGATACAACATAAGCATGAACGAGTGTTACTGTAGATGAAGCAAATGATTCGGTGTATAAGTGAATGAAAATTTCCATCTGATAAGAACAATTAAAACTTACCCGAGGAAAGAAATTCCACAAAGCAGGAAACGACCGTCTTGAGTGAACTTAGTGACGTGGTGTGAGCACTGCCATTTAAAAGATGAGATCGAGAGGCAAAATTAGGCTCAATCCACAAAAATACACTGAGAAGAGAGCAAAATAACATCGTGATCCCTCATGTACCATCCAAACCTAGACTTACAAGAAGAATAGTACTAATTATGTCAAAAACAGCCAACAGGATTAAAAATGATACTTTCTCCGTCCCAAGATAAATGTTCACGAAAAAAATCATTTTTAGGAACACGTAATATGACATTTTTACCCTTAATTGTTACACTTTTTAATCACTAATAAATTTCTCCATCTCATAAATTAAAATATTTGTGCATCATAATTAAACGTAGAATTGGAAATTATAAATATCTATTTTTGAAAGTAGACACAGGGGCTGTTTGGTTGGTTTTTCATCAAGTTCTATATGTATAAAGCTGTCTATGTGGATTAATCTGTCTGTATAGATTGGGAATGTTTTTGTTTGGGAGGGTTTTTTTCATAGACAGCAGGAGCTTGTTCTTTAATTGGGAGAGGCAGGTTTGGGAAAAACTTGGCTTTCTGCATAAAGCTCCCCCCTAAAAGGTTACTGAATAAGCCACTTTCTATATCATTAAGCCACTACCAAACAATCATGTATAGCTGACTGAAAAGGCTGTGAGTCCCTTTAAGCTCATTAAGCTGCTAAACATGCCCTTGTGGGAAAAACCTGAATAGAAATGTGGACACTTATTTTGGGATGGAAGGGTAGATTGAATAGAATGGAAAAAGTTAGATGATTGAATTGGAAATCAAAGATGACAATTAAGAAGAAGAATTCAAGTAATCACCAGCAATAATATTAGGATTTCCACATTTGCCCGAACCAATTGCTTTTACGCTGATGGAGTTCCTGCATCATTCGTACTCCACTCTTCATCAGCCTCGTGACCGTTAACGAGTACAGCACCATCTGAAGAATCATTATCCTTGGCAGCAGCCCCCTCTTGACCCACCTCTTGATCCTCTTCTTGACCATCAATAAATTCCCCCTCCTTTCCATTGTGTTCTACACCCTGTGCCAAGAAAGCAAGGACAAGAACTTAAGACGATGAAATAGCAGGGGGGAAAAATGAAGTTTAAACTCAAATATGTGCGCACCCTATTCTAGACCGGGAAAACAAAAAGTTGAGAGAGAAACAAACCTGCCTCTTGATTAGAGAACTATAACCATTATATATTTTTCACACACCCTACTTTTGGAATTTTGAGACGTGAAAAAACATATCATGGTATAACATAAGATTTAAACCAGAGACTTCCACCTCTAAAATGTACATCTTAAAGCTTAGGAGCAATACGAGGCATTGAGGGGTTATCTCAGATGGCGACCTCATGAAAAGACATTTACTTGATAGCCACCTCACAATTTTTTATCACAAATAGCCAAAAAACCGCAGGTCAACGCCACTTCTCCTTGTGGTTTCTGACAAAATCTGACGCATCCAGTGAAAAAGTGAGCCCACCACAAAAACCATTAGAATACCGCAAGTTGCGGTACGTTAGCCCCTTGAGTCTATGCACAAAAAAGAAAGCCAAAGTCGCAAGCTGTGAAACCGCAAGCACCTTTCCCAGCTTGCGGAACCACAAGAAAAAGTGCCTTGCAGCGTTGGCTTGTGGTTTCTTGGCTATTTTGTGAGAAAATCTAGTCAGGTGGCTATAAAGTAAATATTTTTTCCTGATGTGGCTATTTATGATGATAACCCGGAATTGAGGTGGGTCCCACAAGGTTACACCACATCATCAGCCAAAACACACGACCGGAAAACCCCATCCTGACCACCCACCAGTAGGAGAATGGAATAATAATATTCAATGTGATAAAATCATCAGTAAGAAATCCAATTTCTTATTGGTAATACAACACAAATACGTCACTTTCACATAATGATAAAATGTAAGACATTAACTGTAAGAACTCACTACTACATCCCTTGGTGGAGGAGAAACACAGATGTTTAAAAAAATGTACCTCGTGATCAAACCCTCCATTTTCAAGTGGTTCCTCGACATCCAATTGCATTTGTCTGAAAGCTTCGACCAGGTTGACATGTGATCTATCAATATGGTTCACATATTCCACTGCCGGAGGATAATGACCCCTAAAGGATAAATAAAGGAACATTATTCGTTAATATCAAACAATTTCAGGAATTCCTTTAACACTAGACTTATTCATCAAATGTTATATATGAAAATAGTTTGCAAACTATGCTGCCCGACTATTCAGTTAAGGGAATGTTGTTTTATTAAATTTTTGTCCAATTTCAGCATATATCACACTACTTGTTCCATGGCCCAGCTAAACATAAGAGCTTTAGGGAATATTATAGGGGATTCCACCTGAGCAAGGAAAAGAGTATTCAGAGTTGAAAAAAAAGATGAGCAATGTAACCTTGTGCTTGCAGCTTTTGCTTCAACTTCTAGTGCAACTTGCCAGTCCTCAAACATATTTGGGTACTCCTCAGGATCTGCTAAAGATTCTGCAGCCTTCTGGTTAACCTGCAGTTAAATCATGTCAAACTACTTGGCTACATTATATATGTTCATATATATAGTGTAAAACTGAGAAATGAATTCTGGGCCTCAAAAACTGAAAATAAAATTCAACAACCTTGAACCAATACCAATACAACAGGCAGAAAAACAAGCTATGTGAACTTCCATGATATACCAAACCAACCAAACCAAGTATGTCCCACCCGGAGGTGGGGTCTAGGGATGGTGGGATGTACGCACACCTGACCTCTACCCCGAAAAGGCGAAAAGTAGAGCAGTAGTTTCCATGAAGACCCTCGGCATGTGCGAAGTGTGCGAAAAGAAAAGATAAAGCTTGCTAAAAAAATAATTAAAAGTTAGAAATAGAAAAAGAGGGAGAACACTAAGAAAGAAAGGCAGTGTTAGAGTTCAAAATGAGTCAGAAATAAGCAACAATCAAACAGAAAAAACACTTGGACATTAGCACTACAAGGAAACAGAACCAAGGTAGGAACACTGACATACCCTAGTCTAACCCCAGGAGAACTAACTGCTGACCCACTAACCTAATAACCCTACACCCAGCCTTTACCACTCCAGATCCTTTCCTGGCTAGCTACCTATTCCTACCCCTAGTCAGCTACCCTTATCTTGTGTCTCCAAGAACTCCTAGCTAAGATCATGTCCTCTGATATGCCTAAAATCGTCATGTCTAACCTCATCTGCTCATCCCAATTCAAGTCCTGTGTGGCCTGCCCCTCCTCACTCCTTGACCCGACCCTCACACTTTCTACCCTCCTCACCAGAGCCGTCAACTATCTCCCTATGAACGCGTTCAAACCACCACAATCTTCCCTCCCTCATCTTATCTGTGATATGCGCAACTCCCAAAACCGCCTGGTAGACCTCGTTTGGAATCCTGTTATCCACGGTCCGACCACAGGTCCATCCAAGTATCCTGTAAACCTCCCATGAGGCCATGATGATAAACTAAAAATGCTAAAAGCCATACTTTAAAGTATCATGAATGTAATACTTGAAAGACGAAAGACGGAAGTCAGTCTTTAGCATTTCAAGGAATTGTTGTAAATTAGGCCTAAAAAGGAAGAATATTCTTTTTGAAGTATATAATATTTATATACGGCAAATGCAACATATAAACTCACACACCCTCCTCACCTTTGGTGAGGTTTGAACCCTTGACCTCCAAGGAGGCCAAAGACTACGATACCACTAGGCCAAAGGCCCTTTGGTAAAAAGGAAGAATGTTTGAAAGAGATGTCCTACACAACTGCAGAAATTTCAATGTGTAAACTAACAATTGAGCAGAGAAAAAAAACATAACCTAAAAGAAAGGGGAAAAAAGAACAGGAAGACTAAAAAATTCATTAACCTTGTTAAGGTCTTTTCTCCAGAGTCCAACTATTTCTGAAACCTTGCTTGGAAGGTAAGATCGTGCCATCAAAGCAGCCTCGGGTATCCTATTGCTGCAAGGAAAGTGATTTCAGAAATGCACATCATGGCCAACTTCATGTGGCTGTTGGATCTATGTATGACACGTAAGGACTAACCTGTCAACCAACAACTGCAGGCAGTCTTCCAATTTACCCAACAAAAATAGACAAGCGAATGCAACATTATTCTTTCCATTCTCTTTTGCAAGAGATGCAAGTTTTGCAATCTCTTCAGCATCTCCTAAAGAAGAATAGAGCAACAACAAACCACTCAAATCATTCGCATGCTTCAAACAATCCTCAGCCATGTCCAGCTGCAATATGCAGAACATCATCATCAGTAGTCAGATAGAATAAAGATAAAAAAAGGTTGTGACAAATGTTAAAAGTGGCATGAATTAAATATATGTATCCAGATCCCATTTAGATTGTTTTGGTCATTATAAACCAATTTATGTGATCTAAATATTTAAAAAGAAGAGCAAAAAATAATCTTGGCAAAGAAATAAGGTGCATTCACAAATCACGAACGGAAAACTTTACTCGCAGGTTGTTCTAGATGGCCTTCCATGATGAAAATAATTTATATTCGACAAAGATGGAAAATACCATTCCAGTAGACATAGCTAGTTCACCCAACTGCTTCCATTTGGACTCACTTTGAGCTACTAGTGCAATATCCTGAAAAAATAGAATAGAAGTTGCCATCATGACCACAAATGAGTCAGAAGGTACATATAGTTTTGATAACTAATAGGAGAAGAGGTCCAGAGAAAACAAGCACCAGTTCTTTTTCTATAAGCAGTTAAAAATTATTGTCTATTGCTTGCAAAAGTTGAGAGCTATCACCTTTGCGATCTCTAGTTTACCAAGGTGAATGGCTAGCTCAAATCTATAATCAGGATCTGTAGCAACTTCCAATGCCTCTTCAATCATCCCTCGTGATTCCAGAAAATGAGCAACACTAAAAGAGAAACCATATATATGAATAAAATCCAAGAACTATGTTGTAAAAGAATTTGCATCTTAAAATAGGAACATTATGCAAACAAAAAATATCATGGATAAAAGAAAGTAGGACAGGCTGCAGAATATGACTTTTAAGGCCATAACACATTTCCATCTAACACATAGAAAAATGCCAAATATGCATCCATCTAATACAGGCACATGTGCCGATTAAACATAAGACCTAAGTTAGTCTCTTTTTAGTAAGTATCCTGAAATATTTCATGTGTAGGAGAAACATCATCTGCACAGCTGAAAGGGATCTAAGACTAAGTAGTCACATGATCCCATATAGATGCTCCAATAAGTATCGGCATAGGATTTAATCGTAGCACTGATTCACCAGGACTATTGATGCCAGATCATTAACATTATCAGTTCCATCATCCTCAAAACCAAATGATCTCAAAAAATGATGCAACAGCAACATCACTGACTGTGTATTCCACAGACCCTGACTTTTTATGATTTTTAGACAAATCTTTTGCAGCCAAATCCGTAAAAGCATCAGAAACTCATATGCTGATGGCTAGTTCTCAAGATACAGGACATTCTGAATTTCTAACATAGTGCGAATAGTTCTCCATACAGATGTAGTAACCAAGCAAAATGATGACTGGCTTATGTGAATTTTAATTATAAGTACACATGAATGTGAGCTACAAACAATTAGATTGTAAGTCAAAAGATTGGCATAAACAATCTATTTTGCCTAAGACATGAGATATTCAGATCATACAATAAGTTATATAGAACAAGATACTTGAACTCTACCTATTATGATGCTCCTTTGGAATTGATGGCAAAACTCCACTAGCTCGTTCAAGGTCTCCACGCATCACGAGTGTCTTATACTCAATCAAGGTGAGAAGTAACGTGTACCCAATGACACTAAAATTTGAATAATTGAAGTACAAGGTTAATAGTGATTCTGATTGAGTTGTATCTACAAAGATAAACCCCAAAAGCCCCACTCACTTAAATTCTTTGTCAATGAGATAAACCCTGCTCTGATTAGCTAAATATCCTAGAAGATACATTGGACGATCCAAATGAAACATGGTGGTTACCTGAAAAATATAATGTGTTATGTAACCATTAAATATCAAACAAACTTGAAAGAATAATTTTTTATGGCAAGTACTAAAGATGGGCTCTACCTCGCCACCAACACAATAATTAAGTCTCCATGAAGAATTATTGTAAATAAAACAGTCGCCAACCCATAATCCAGTTCTAACTCGTTCATCTATGTCATACAGAGGTGTAAAGGACTCCTCAACGCCTTGCTCATCTAGAGATCTTCCACTATCTAGATGGGCAGACACTACATCGCGCTGCAACATAACCAAATTTAGTATATTAGTCACAGTTTTCATGCCGAAGTGTAAAAGAAAAATAATACGAAAATTAGCTGATGAAGTTCAATTGCCAGACAATCAGAAGCAAGAGTAGACAAGGATCTTACATTGTACTTTATTATGTGGAATGATGAATCACTGGCAATTGTCACTAGATCACCACTATCAGCCCAGTAAAGGTTCTGAAAATAAAGGATGAAAAACCAAAAGAGCAGATGATTAACTCGAGGTACAGATAACAAGTAAGGTGAAAAAGGCACCCATAAATAACAAAGATCGAGATACAAATTGTTTACTTTGACATTGACATCAATCCGACGAATCAATCTACACTCAGCCCAATCATAGAAACATATAAAATCATTTGAGCACATAGCCAGCAATGATCCTCCAAATATCCTCTCAGCTGAAAAAGTTGGCCGGATACTCTTCTTTTCCTGATTAACGAGAACATCCAAAAGATAAATTGTGATGTAGATTACTAAATGATAGTTACTCTGCAGGGAATGTATAAAAAAATGCAGACAATCAGAAGCAACATTGTCATTCTAACAAGGTATGTGCTGCCACAACATACATCAGAGATTTACACAACACGGTAAGATACAGAAGGGGGAAGAAGAGAACAACAGATGAAGGATTTACATTGTACTACTTTATTGGTACCTCCTCAAAAAGATGCAGACAAGTAATACAAACATTGATTATTAGTCTAACCATGAGATATGGAAGGTGCAGAAACCTGAAAAGATTTGTTGAAAATCTTAATCCTGGATGTACTCTCCCTAACAGCATATTCACCATCAGATGACCAAACTATCTCCAATGCAGAGCCAAAGGATCTATTTCTCCAAGCCAAAGCTGTATATATAATGTATTCACCATCACCGCAGACAACAACAAACCTCCCGTTTGGATTGTGCTTCAAGCTCTGCGCGAATGAGCAAGAACAAGAAAGGCCAATTTTAAACAGTGACTAGTAAAAAATCAGCTGACATGTCCAAAACTAATAGCCAAATTTCCAAGATTTCAAGATTTTTAGAAATGAACTCACCCTCGTACCATTACAATAACAAAAATAGCTGATTGAAGTAATGCACACACATGGGTATACAACAATCACCATGACTATCATAATTACTGCAACAACAATAAGCCTGTTGTCAAAACCATTGGGGAAAGGCTGAAACAGGAGGGCAAGAACAAAAGGGTTATATACATGATGTATTCACCATCACCACAGAAAATGACATTCCATCTGGGTTCTGCTTCAAGTTCTATATAGAAGAGCAAGAACAAGAAAAACCAATGGTAAAAGATGTCAACTAGTGAAATCAGTTGGCATGTCCTGAACTAAGTGCCAAATTTCGGAGCTTCAAGGTGTTCCAAATTGGAAAACTAACTCACCCTCATATCAATAGAATCACAAAAATAGCTCCTTAAAGTGATACCCACATGGGTACACAAATTATTTGGGATAGGTTGAAAAATGCATACAGAAAGGATATGGAGGTTGATTCCCAAGGGCTCTAGGACATAAGTATCATCCATCCATGCCATCCAAGGCCATGACCTTTGGTACATTCTGCTCACTAAACTTCCCCATGTCAATAAGCCAACCTCAACCTCGCTTACCAACATCTCAGTATTTACTAGTGTCCCATTCTAATTGGTGGCTCGAAGTTTATGTTGGAAATGACTTGATCTTAAGAAGTACTGTCTCAGCTCGTCCTCAGTCGCTGCCATCCAAACTTCTTCCATTCACCATCATTGCACAGCCTTATAGAGCCCATATCTATTTTCAGTTTAGAGGAAGCCTGAAAACAAAATAAGCACAACTTACTTGCGGGTAGAGATCACATGTTCCCAGCTCCTTAACTGCTAAAGGTAGCCTCTCTCCATCAGAAACCTGAAAAGTATGGGAATAAGAAAATGTGCATTGTCCTCCTGGCAGAAAAGGGTACAGAAATACAACAATCTTTGACAGGACAACATGCATATGGGCCCAAACCTCATAATCAGCTCCCACACTCTTAATGTTAACGGTCTGAATTTCATTATGCTTAGCCCATATAATTTTTCCGCTATTGTCCATGCTAGCTACAGGCTCTTCCCTCCCAATTTTCACCATGATGGTCCCTTCATCATAGCCAATAACGATCCTGTGAAGAGAAGTAATGAATTGCAAGCTAATTGATCAATGACAAATGAAGCATCAAGTGTATTCTCGAGATAGCATAAAGTATTGTCAGCAATGTTGTATTATGCTTAGATCTCCAAGCAAACCTCTTGATCCTAATATTCACCCCAAGAGAACTCAAGTAAGGACTTGCACAAAAAACTTATATGGTGACTAGGACAACAAAGGAACCAAGAAGAATCTTGAAGGATAGAATGACAAATCTAGCTGTATTAAACTGCAACAAGATGAGTGCTAGATATGTGCTTTTATATAGCAATAAAACAAACTTACCGGCGTGAACCTTTCATGTATCCGACAGCCCAAACCCTTTCAAGTCCATAGTTCAAGGTGTTCTCAAGTCTGCAAAAAAGTGGGAAGAGCCAAGGAACTTTGAAAAAGGAAGAGTGCATAAGCTCAACAAGAAGTAAATGTTTACATTTCTTTTTACATTATGAACTTTTGAGTGGCTTACGGCCTTAACTAATAATCACAACTTAAATAGTTGGCAATATGTTCTACTTTTTGAAGTAATAGTAATACAATTAGAGTTAAACCATCATCATCATCTAATAGAATACGAAGGATCACAGGAGACATATAAGACGATGCTTCGGTTTTCTAACTCAATGTCATAAATGATAAGATATTCCCTCCATTGCTGCATAAATTACAACACTCAATCCTTTAGGTTAATCATCACATTGTGGGATACAGAATCTGGATGCCAAAAAAAAATTACGTACTTGAGGAAAGAAGACAAAAAAATGCACACAAGATGTAATACAGAGAACTGATTGAGAATGTTAGGAGAAACGACAAACGCATAAACACTTCTTCACCGCCTACGTTTTGGCTGCATCATACCATTAGCAGCACACATGTTTCAATTTTATTAATTGCTCTGTTAAAGAGATCGACATGGAGATTGTGTATGTGAAACCAAACACATACCATCAATGTTTATAGATTTCCATGTATTTATCCAACACAAGGTTCAGATAAAATCACCAACTCAGCTAAGAAGAGACCATACAAATGAAAATATCAAAGGTCACAAACCAAGACCTACCTGTAAGTGGTTGAATGCCATATACGTACAGTACCATCCTCAGAACCTGTAATTATTATTGGAAGCTCTGGATGGAAGCATACAGCAGACACATTGTGTGTGTGACCTTCTAGAGTCTGAACACAAGTTTTAGTTTGATAATCCCATACCTGTTTCAAATTATTTACAACATAAATTACATATTGCAGGCATCTATAAATATAACAAGTGGAAAAAGTGGAAGGCTACAGACCTTAGCAGTGTGATCATCTGATCCAGTAATAAGATAAGGTCTATCACCACCAGTAAAGTAATCCACACAATTCACTCCTTTGAGATGAGCATCTAGTGTGAAGTTAGGATCAGGTGAACCTAGATTCCAAATCTGAAATAGGAAAGATAATAGTGTATAAACCTCCCTTGTAGAATGTCAAACTGATCAGTGTTAGTTGCTAGTAAGCATTCATAAGATTACCTTTATAGTGCGGTCAAGTGATGCGCTTGCAAAAGTATTGGTGTCTTTGGGATTGAAGGTCACTTGCATAACATAATGAGAATGACCCTCAAAAATTTGAGTGCAAAACCAACTCTTCTCCCAGTCCCAAAGTTTTATAAGCATGTCGTCAGATGATGACAATACATATGGCAGTGTAGGGTGGACAGCAACACACCGGATGTAATCAGTATGTGCCTCGTATACTTTCACTTTATCCATTGTATTGTAATTGTATACCCGGATAAACATATCATCTGCACCAGCAACAACCCACTGCTTGCGTGCTATGAACTTTGCTGATCTGACTGCAAAGCGATTGTGTAAGCATCAGAAATAACCAGCAGGCTAAAACCATGCACTAAAACATATCAGACAGCATAAACTCTAATAACAGACCTGGTAACTCGGTAACCTCGAAGGATTTTACCATAATCTGCAAGAATGTGGGCTTGTGTCAGTCATTAATTGAATTTCTCTCAATATACAGGTAATTGGATCTACTAAATGCAAAATAAAATGTTGATTGATGCATACTTATCTTCAGAAGGGGAAACTGAAGCAATAATCAAGGCTCTGAAACATGTATACTTATCCAACATATCTTTACTGATCGAAAACATCCTTGAGAATATAATTTTACCATGAAATCCAAGACGTATATGCAGAAACTTGGTGCATAGTAACCAAACCATGCTTCTCAGGAGCTGACAATTGCATTCAGATTGGATAGAACTAATTTGACCAACTTTCAAAAGTTCATAAAGAAAAATGGTAAAGTGAAATAGATTTGAATGTTGTTTAATAAGTCATAAAGAGGTTTTCAGGCTGGACTCTCTAGTGGGATATAATTCTAATTACATTCCAACCAGGGGCGGAGCCAGAATTTGGGTTTATGGTGGTCCTCTTAAACATTATCATGCAAATACATTAAATAAGATAAATAGAAAACAAATGTATAAAAATCCTAATCCGCAATCCAGAGTCTACATAAAGATCGTCTAAGTTGATTCCATACAACTTCGTTTATAACTATCATCATTGGTCTCCTTTGACTAATCCATAACTGTTAGAAGTTAAACTAATTAGTCAACTAAAAGTATATAACCCTACTCAAATGTCATATGTAAACATTAAGATTTAAGAACAAAAAGGAGGACAAAAACTAGATTTACAAAAAGAACATACAAAAATATATTATAAATACATGTTTATTGTAAACTTGCTTGGTTGTTAAGAATCATCACTAACACAATTCCAACTTTTGTTTCAAGATGGAAAGATGAACTAGCTTTTGGAGATTATTGTCTATTGATTAACAATTAGAAGCAAACAAATAAACAAAAGAAATGACATAAGTAAATTAATAAACATTAAACAAGATAATGAGATACTTCATACTCGGTTCTTGGGTTCAAATAGATCAGAAAAAAATTTAAAAAGGAGTTTTTTTAGAATTGAATTATTATAATATTTATAAAATGTTATAGAAATAAAGATGATGGAAAGCTTGGGGGAGGTGGCTCCACCCATAATTCAACCCTAATGGTGGGGACTATCAATTGATGTCCTGCTATAGTTGGAACAGGCAGAACTGAGTTGAAGATCAGTTTAGCTACCAAATGCATCTGAGTTGGTTATTTGTGTGTCTGTCAGCTAACTTTTCTGCAAGCAACCTACCAAAGCCAGTTTCTAATCAAAAGACATTATTTCATCTACTTAATTATTACCTAGCCATGATATGGAAGGATGAATACAAACTATTTGTTTTTCGGCTTTTTTTTGCACTAGCTAGAAATGTTGTGTCACTTCATCAGATATGGAGAAGTTCCATGTTATCTACCCATGATACGGGAAGGATGAATGCAAACTATTTTGGTCTTCGGCTTTTCTTTGCACTAGCTAGAAATATTGTGTCACTTCCTCAGATATGGAGCAGCTGCATATTCTCTAGAGAGATGCAAAAACGTCGCCCATCTCATTCTATCAAGGGTGTAAAAAGGATGAAGCGTCGATATACGTCGTATTTATTCTTATATCTCTGAATGTATAACTGGAATATGCAAAAGCAGAAGACTAAAGCAAGTGTGCTCCCATATACAAATGATAACCCGTGCTCCTTACAAGAGTTCATTAGTGTGATTTCACCTTATAGTGTTCAATGTTATTTGCTTGATATATATGGAAAGTAACCGTGATTTCACCTTATAGTATTCATTCTTATTTGCTTGATATATATATATATATATATATATATATATATGGAATTAACCCTGCAGAAAGTGTTCTACTTTCCTTAATCATGCTTTGTTCATGACTCCACTTAACATCGTTATCTACTTATCAATCAATGAGGCAAAGGAACTTCTAAAATGTTACCCCATTTATAATGTTTATTTCCTTATTTAAAACTATTTACACAATTCATAATTATAGTATCTTATACGTAGTCTCTAATTGGTGGCATCAGCTATGTCCTCTACCTATAACTAAGTTACATGAGTTCTATGACGATTATATACTGGTTGTTTTTGGCTGAACATTTATTAGTGCAGCAGTTTAGGGTGCTACTAGGAACATATGAAAACTTATATCTTCTGTGAAGTTAACTTTTTACTGTCAATAATTTGACTGCATTGCCAATAAAAATGCTAAACCGTAACCTCGTTTTCTATACAAATGCAATGGAAATAATTACTTTCACAAATCACAACAAGCGAGGACTAATATTCTAATGAGAGAAATACCCTGAATTTTGTATTTCTCTGCTGAATTTTACTGCATTAATACTCCATTAAGAAGGAATATCCATCAAGGAAACAGGCATGTATGTTACTTTGGAGGTGCCAACTGAATTTCATAAATGAATATCAGTCAATTCAATGAGAACTCACACTTCCTAAAACTTGCTAAACTACTATCATACCTGGGTCTGGTAATTCCAGATGCAGACCGTCCCTGAATACAAACTTGCTAGGATCCTGAGAAAAATAAAAAGAACAATGACTATTAATACACAAATGCCTACTACTTGCTGAAAAATGAACTTCCCTACACCTTAGCTAATAAAGCTTGCAATTTAGTAGCTAGAAGCAAAAGAGAGCTAGAAATCATTGTATAGCACGTATGTTCATAATAGAAACACACCAGTCAGAGTAACGAATTCAATTACAATGAATAAGAACAATAGAATTACCATGGCTCCGTTGGGTGAAGATCCACGGATTTTACTCTTTCTGATCTTTGTGCGAGTTTCCTCTACCAAAAATACTTAAAATTAGCATGACTAGTGTATATACGTCTCTACTTAATAACAATAACAATAATTAGTAAATTCAATTAAAATAGCAACAGTACCTTGATCTCGAGTCTGAGAGGCTGTCCCAAAGTGAAAGACAAACAAACCAAAATGAAGCTCCAGTTAGCACACCAGATCCCAATAGATAGTTAAAAATCCCAAACATATCATACGAAGGTTCCAAAATGTGATTGAACAAATGATCAATCAAACGGAATTACATCAACCGGATCCAAATCAAAATGAAGATAAATGCAAATCAAGTAAGCTCACCATTGTTGTAGATAAAATTAAGCGGTTTGATCGAGAAAACGGCTATTGATATCAGAACCCTAAGATCCGAGTGAGAGATCCGACCAGACAACCCGAACAGAGAGCAAGGTAGCAGGAATCTCCGTCCGAATTGAGCGATTTGTGAGAGTTAGGGTATGGAGATGAAAACGCAAAGCAGCGTCTCTGTGAAATGGAAGAGGATGGGTTGAAGATACAGAAGGTATGTTTGCTTCAGTACACTCCCGTGCAAACTGCAACGACCAAACTTGCACAAAAAATTCCTCGTCTTTTGTTTTATGTTTTATTGAATTATCGAATACATACAAATAGTTTACTTTTTTTTAACTACTTTATAGATAAAGATGTTGTTTGTCAGTTGTTGAATGGTTTGGTGTAGAATAATTAAGTGATTTTTATAATATAATGTAAAATGAAATATAATTGTTTGGTAATTGTTTTCAGTGAAATTAAGGTGTTCATGATACAAAATCATTCAAGGGTTTTAGAACCATTAAGAGACATAAATTTTTTTGTCAAATAAGATTCACCTTTTAACGATTTAAAAACGGTCTCTTAATAAAATTATTAAGAGGTAAACAAACAACCCCTTAAGAGTTTTTATTTGAAAAGTTCTTTTAATACATGAAATGAGCGGTATTTTTTAATTGGGAGGTTTGATTTGACTAAAAATTTGGTATTTTGCATAAAGCTTCAATAAAAAAGTTACTGAATAAGTCATTTTCTACATCATTAAGCTAGTACCAAAAGAGTCATGTATAGCTGGTGGTGAATCCACAAATTTTGCCTAGTGGAGGAACCTTTAAGGTAGATTAAAAACCCACAAAGCCGTTCGACGTATTTTTAGCCTAATTCCAATGTTTCGAGGGATTTTTAAAGTTTTTTGTTGATTTCGAGAGGTATTTTTTGTCGATTTTGAAAGACTTTTTCAGTTTTTTTAATTGATTATAAAAGATTTTTTTGGTTGATTTCAATATACTTTTTTGATTGGTGGAACACATGCGGGATTAATGGGCCCACCACGAGGTCTCTCACTGTTTATCACATGTAATAAAAATGTTCTCGTATTTTCGTAAAATAAAAGTATTATCGTTTGAACATTCACTTAAACCATTAATGCGTTAAAGATTCAAATATGTTTAGAATTTCCCATCGAAATTATGTCTCGAGAACATAAAAACGTGAAGTTGTCTTCGTGACTATAAAAGAAATTCAAGACTTCAGCCTTCAGCATGTAATTCAGTGGGCGAAACGACTTTACCTAGTCTCGATCTCATATTATATGACATTTTTGTAATTAAAATAAAAATCGAATGAATAGGTGAACTTGGTACTCCACAATTAAAAAAAATTAATCTAGAAAATACCAGTGTTCAAAAAGGTGCGTCATAGCATGATATGGTGCAAAATGCATCTCTGTCGTCACGAAACCCCTAGCTGCGACGCGCTTTTTTTGTAACACGTGGTTTTTTCCGGGAAAAAATATTTTTTTAATCTTTTATTTTTTATATTTTTACGCTTTTAACTTTGAGATTTTATGGTCTTATAAGGGACATATTTGTATTTCAATAAGACTACATGGGCCTTAATTTGGAACAACTATTGGGCTTGAGCCCATTTACCTTCCTTTCCGTTAAGCCGAAAAGCCCATTTTTAAATCGACCGCCATTTAATTATTTATTTTGTAAGATATTGATCTTTTTATTTTTATTAACCGTTGGTATCTAGACCAGTTTTCGCACACCTCGGTTATTTATAGAGGGTCTGAAAAATACGCATGATTTTTTTTAGTGGACTTATAGTACTTGAACAGGTGACTTTTGAGAAAATTCCCCACAGACTCAAACCTTATTGTCAGTTGTGTTAACCTCTTAGTACGGGAGTTCAAAAAAACCGTTGAATCGCTAAAATCATTTGAACTGAAGTCAAACTAGATTGTTTTCGACGGTTTGAGCGGTCTAACGGTCCAGTCTAATTTAAAAAATAGTCAAACCACTCATTCTGGCGCGATCTACAATTTGAGCTATTTTTGAGAGGTTTGGACGGAACCAACCATCAAAAATATACATGTATCAATTATATTTAGTTCTCATGTTATATGCTTAACTTTTATAGTCCAATAAAAAAAAGTTCGTCCAAAATATTATGTTTTTAATATCCCGAAAATCCGTCAAAAATCAAATCTAAAAAATTCCAAATCGTTCTTCGACTTGCTCAAAGTTTGTCCAACATTTCAACCATTGTTTGTGGACTTATTTAACTATCTGTCAACGTGTTCAAAATTTTTTATTTATTTTAAAGACGGACGTTTCTTTTATAATTTCATATACTGTATTTTTAGTAATGTTATATTGGTAGAAATTTCATTTTGGATACATAAATGTTATGGTTTTTCAGTTTAAAGCTCATAAGAGATTCAAAACGTCTAAACTGATCAGATTAAACCGTCTTTTGTGGTCCAATTTAACTTATTTTGATCACTTGCTGACAAACCGCTTAGTTAAAAAAAATTAACAGTAAAAAAATGTTATATATATATATATATATATATTATTTTTATTAGAAAACACAAATAAGGGGTATTTTGGTCTTTTAAACCTTAGTTAACCAGATTAACGGATTTTGTTAGTGAGAAGAAGGACTCTAACCATAAAAAAAATGACAACTATGGGGACCAAATCCATCATTAATTGAGTATAAGGACGTTAGCCATAATCTTTCACATACCACAGGGACCAAATCCGTAATTCACTCATAATTTTATTAAAAAATAGTGGAACTTTTTACCCATTTATTTATATTTAATTTTATTAATCTTTATTAAAATGATAACAACTGACATTAAAATATAATAATTAAAAAAATATGAAATGATTAAATATATAAAAACTCTAAAAAGTGTATATGTGCATTACTCGGTAATTTCTTAAAAAACATATTCAAAATCAATTTTCCTTTTTATTTTCATTTTATATATTTATAATTTTTTAATTTAAATTCCATTAATAACTTATTTTATTTTGAATTTCTTTATTAGTTCGAGTCTACTATAATTATTATAAATATCGTTGTTGAGAAGTTGTGATTGGATTTCTAGACATTTAATTAATGTTATTTTTTTTTATTAGCATTACTTTTGTTATTTGGTAAGACATTGGAGAATAAATTACATGAAAAAGTAACATATTTTAATTTGATTTATATTTTGGATAACGTATTTTCAAAACTTTTATTTTGGTATTTAAGATGTAAAGTTTTAAACATTTAATTACTCAGGTAACCGATTGAAGACTAATTTTAGATTAAAAAAAGACTAATTTTATAACCACGTCAGGAAATAATACTGAGTTGAATACCACATTAATCGTCACATCAACATGATAACCGGTTAATGCTTCAACTGGTTACCCAGATACTTCAATGTTTAAAATTTTACATTTTAGTTACCAAAATATAAGTTTTGAAAGTGCGTTACTTAAAATAGGAATCAGGTTAAAGTACGTTACTTTCATGCAATTTGTCCAAAGATGGAATGACTTAATTCAAATATAAGATATGTTATGGGTTTGGTCCACATCCCTTCTCCCGGTTGCTAGTCTCAACTGCTGAGTAAGCCAAAAATGTCTTTTTACATTGGTGTCCTTGAAAACAGGTTAGATGTAGGCCTGGTTGCAATTATCGATAATCAGTTTTTTACCCAAATATTTTTCATCTTATTATAGCTAAAAAAATCATTTTTTGTGTTGGTATGTAATTATAATAATTTTTGAATATATGTTTACGTATTAATTTTTTTTTCATTACATATTTGAATTTTTAATTATTTTTAATAGGTATATTTTTATAGACTACTTATGTGGGTTGGATTTACATGAGACCAACTAGTTTTTATAAGATCTGTGAGACCACAAAATAACACTGAACCTTCACAACGAGACATTGTGAATGTACAAAAAACAATGAATTTTTACAACAAAAACACATGAAGAAGCAACGTATTTGGCATGAGTCGGCTATGCAAATCCTTGAAAGATATAAGTGAAGGGACTAATTGGTCCTTGCACATACATCAAGGACTATACTGTAAAGGACAGTAACACGTTCGAATAAACGTGTGTTAACGAAGAATCGCTTTGAGCCACAATCTTTGAGCAGGGGAGGATTAAGGCTCGTCCCATGACCAGATGGAAGAAACGAATTGTCATTTTGTCTAGCATCATTCTTGAGAAAAAAAAAAAAACTAGAAAGAATGTGAAGTGTGCAAGCAAGTTTAAACCATCTCCAGGTAATTTCGTATACTGAAATTACATGTTGAGTTAGGGGTTGTTTGTTTACCTCTTAATAGTTCCATTAAGAGGCGATATCTGAATCATTATGAGGTAAATCTTGTTTGACAAAAAAAAAGGCTGCCTCTTAATGGTTCTAAAACTCTCTTAATGATTTTGTATCATTGGCCTCCCTTAACCATTAAGAGCCCTAATTTCATTGTAAACAATTACCTAATAGTTATATTTCATTTTGCACTATATCATGAGAAGTCTCTTAATCATTATGACCACTTAATGATTCTGCACAAAACCATTCAGCAACTGCCAAACAGCTCCTTGGTGGCATACAGTGTTGTTGAGTTGTTGGATGTAACAAGTAGGAATTGAACTAGGAATGAGACCTTAAGGACATGAAACCAGTGAAAAATAGTTGTACATTATCATGGTGTAATCAGGTCCTTTCAAGATTGAGCATATGATAATATGAAGTGTGAACTATGGACATTAAGTATGCTACAAGTTTGTAATTAATGTTTGCATTTGTCAGTATCTTTTCATCAAATTCGAGATCTGTCACTGTTTAAATTGTTTCGAATACCGTTTTGTATTACAGTTTTAGTTTTTTAAGTTACGTGAGCAAATTCAAGTTTTCCGTTGTGAACAACATTTATGACGACATTTTAGTATTTATGACGTAAGATGTCACAACCCTATGGGAAAGTAGGTTGTTGCTTAAAGTGCTTTTGTGTGATCATTTCAAGAGGATTTGCTTTCGAATCTTTAGCAGTTAGAGTCTAATTATTAGCAAACCCCACTTATACGCCCTGATTTACTAGGTGGAGTCACACCACTAATCAAAATAACCACAACTTCGAGACCACAAATTTTAGATCACCAGTAGAGCACATAGAATAATTCTAACATGACTGTCAACGTCATCAAAACTGACG